GAAGGGAGATGTGGGAGGTTTATGGAGAGGCTCTGCCTCAAGTGCACAGCTACAAAGGTGTGTCCGTGTCTGGTGAATGTTTCCGTGCTGTTTTCTTGGATCAGGTGTGGGCTCCTTTGCAGTGTGGGCATGGAGGGAAGGGCTGAAGGTAATCCTCAGTGATCCCCACTTGCTGTGCCTTGGTTCCTGATGAGGAGAGGCTTGGATTCCCAAACCAGTGCCTGCACTCCAGCCCTGTGGGCATTTGGTTGTGAGAGAGGCTTGAGGCAGCCTGGAGGACACAAGGTGCTGGGGTTGAGTCCACAGCAGTAACTGGGTTAAAGCCCTGCTCTTTTGGGGCTGCAGTGCTGGCTGACACAGGTGATTTATGGCACCTGCTGTCCTCCTATTTAGGGACACCCTTGTGGTGCAGAGAGGAACCCTCAGGGTATAAAATGTTATAAAATAGGTAAAAGAGGAGGAACCCCTCTTGTTTTCCTGCAGAAGTAGAGTCACAGAGTGACAGAATGGTTTGGGTTGGAAGGGACATTGAAGCCCATCCAGTCCCAACCCTGGGACACCTCCCACTATCCCAGGTTCCTCCAAGCCCTGTCCAGCCTGGCCTTGGACATTTCCAGAGATGGGACAGCTGCAAAAAAAGTTCCCATTTTTAAAGCACCATTATCTATCTATCTATCTATCTATCTATCTATCTATCTATCTATCTATCTATCTATCTATCTTATCTAATCTAATCTACCTACCTACCTTATCATTTTATCTATCTATCTATCTATCTATCTATCTATCTATCTATCTATCTATCTTATCTCTCTATCTATTTTTTTTAATTTTTCTAAATCTGTGGATTAGAACATCCATTAAAAATTATCTGTTATCACAATCTTGAGTTTATGGTATAGTAAGCCTGACCTTTGCCAGGCCTTTCTGGTTAATTGCTTACAGTAATTGGTTTATTTCTGACTGTACAAACATTCTCACCTGTTTTCTGTAGGATCCATTTTAGTTTCAGTCACTTTGTTATTTTGTCACATTTTAAACTGGCAAAGTTAGAATCAGAGAATCATTAAGGTTGGAAAATACCTTTAAGGTCATTGAGCCAAACTTTTTAACTAATTGTGGTTCTGACTTCAAGTTTTTTGATCAGAGCTCAGGACCTGTGTTTGCTTAAAATATTGGGGAAATACTGGGAAGAATATTGTGGGAAAATTATTTCTTTTATCTTTTTAAATTCAAATACATAAGCCTAGCACTGAAAAAAATATCCCCAACAAAGAAACAGGTGAGAAAGAAAGAAATAAGAATTCTAGGAAAGGTTTAGCCTTGGAGAAGCAGTGAGCAGATGAGAAGTTAGAGGAAGCTAAAGAGGCACAATGCAGCAGTCAGTAGTCACAGGATCTTGGAGATGAAGTTTTACAATAATGTGTATATTGTTCAGAAGGATATGTTAATAAAACTGTGCAAGCTGTGCCAGAACCCCCAGGTAAAATCAGACTTTGAGGCTCGGGTGGGGATAAAATGTACGCCAAAAAAAAAAGAAAAAAAAGAAATAATCTGGTGGGTATCTTTGAATTGTCTCTCCTCAGGTGAACGGGGTGCAGCTGTGTGGCAGGTCCCGACGGGAGGCTGTCACCTTCCTCAAGGAGGTGCCTCCCCCCTTCACCCTGGTGTGCTGCCGGCGGCTCTGCAGCGACGGCACCGAGTCGTGGGTGGACGAGCCCCCCGTGGTGGCAGCGTCCCCTCCAGAGCCACAGGTAACCTTCTCCTGCCCCCTGTGTGCAGAGGGACAGTAAATTCTGTGGGAAAGCCCCTGGGTTTGCAGGGCTAGTGTTGAGGAGGTTCATTGTCCCGGGAAGACAAGGTGGGTAAATCACGGCGCTGCTTTGCTGACTGCACATCCCATCCATCATGACCACACTTAATAGGTGAGTGAGAGCTCTGAATTACACTAAATCACGTCCTTGCCACCATTAGCTGATTGCTTCCGTGTTCTGAGTGGGTTTTTATACAACTGGGGGGAAAAAAAAAAATAAATTGAAACTTAGAAGTTTCTTTCCATCGCAGGAGCTTTGGAGTCTCAAAGCAAAGCTTGACACTTGTGGTTGCTCCTGTTTGCAAAAGTGTTTAGAGCTTGGCTTCTCATCTTTTCTGATTGCCTGGCCTTTCTATTAGCTGTCTGTGGTTAAATCTTTTATGCTATTTATTTTTTCCTTTATGCATCTAATGGGACAGCTGAAGTTCATCAGCGTGTAACAGGTTAGTAATATTCTAACAATTAATTAGACTAATACACGGGTATTTGTGTGCCAGGTTGGGCTCTGATGCTCAAAACATGGAGGCCTGTGCCCAGGGGAGTACTCAAGGCAGCAAGCTGGAGAAAACTCCATTCATAATGCTCAGTGAAGTTTTAATTCCATGAAAGGTCACATTTTAGGGCATGAATGCATCATTAATAATCAAAATATTGAAGGAATAGTGTTCCTGAAGAACTGAGAGAATGGTGTTTGAGCCAGAGCTTTTCTTTTCCAGGTGAAACCTGAGGAAGACTTTAATCCTGAGGAGGAAGAAGGGGAATTGGCATTATGGTCTCCTGATGTGAAGGTTATTGAGCTGGAGAAAGACAAAAATGGTTTGGGATTCAGCATTTTGGACTATCAGGTATACTTTTCTGTATAACTAAATGATGAAAATCCCTTTGATCCCTTGTCTTGCACAGTGCCTTAAAATGTTTTGTGGTGTTGATTACTGAGTAATGGACTTGACATTTGGGCCTAGGGACTGTAGGGAAAAGTAATGCATTTTGGGGCCAACTCTGTAAAGTATGGACTATTCTAAACCTCTGATTACTGGACATGATAAAGTACAAAACCTTTCATCAAGCTGCACCCCATAACTCTGAGTTTAATGACTAAATGTTGGTTTTTTGTTGTATTTTGTTTTATCTTAGAATGGCTTTTCAGCTGTCAGAGTGACAAGTGAAGGTTCTTGGGTATTAGTTGGAGATTATTATATTCTTAATTGTTAAACTCCTTAGAAATTGATGGACAAGTCTTTAGTTGGAGGGAAATGCTACTAAAATTAATGAATCCTTCTTTCAAAAACCCTGTCTTCAATTAAATATGTAGAAAATCTCAAGATCTGTAGTCAGAATGAAACGTTCTTCATGTTTCCAGTCAACATGATATATTTTTTTAAACCTCCAGTCATCATATTTATAAGGAAATAAAATAGCTGGATCACTCTTTATAATAATATACACATCACATCTGAGTGCTGCCTAAACATTGTAGTTTAATGAAATGTGTTCAACTGTTGTACATAAATGTCAAGTGATATAAAATTCACTTTTTGATACAATAAGGCAGGAATTGGGAATGAATTAGAAGGGAAAAAAATATTTGAAGTATTATGCAAACCCATTAATTCTATATTTTAGCAGTGCGATTTAAGATTACTGAAAATAGATCCTGTTAGTCATTTTAGCTGACACATGTTGTGTTGCAGTGCCAGCTCTACTCTAGAGTTGCTGGGAGTCTTTACAGAGCAGTAATACACAGATTTGCTTTTAAGTTCTCATATAATCAGAATTAATGAAGGCTTTAATAGCAGGCTTTTTATTTACTTATTCGCAGATGCAAATACACGAGCAATGTTGTGGTACTTTCAGCTAAATTTAAATACATTCTAATCAATTCTAAATGAGTGGTAAACCACTTAATCTCAGATCTTTATAATTTCAAGATATTTATGTATAAAGTGTATAAAGTGTGTTCTTTTGTTTGGGATTTGCCTCTTAGATCTTTTACACTTTTCATCATCTGCAGATTAATTTTTATAGAGAGATATCTGTGGCTCTGTGTGTGTTTATGTAAATACATCCATCACATCCTTGAGTGCAAGGCAAAGAAAATAAATAATTGTCCATGCTACAGTGGAGGCAAGGGGAAAAAAAAAAGAAACAAAACCAAAAAAATTGTGTGTGGTTCCTGGGAGAGTGTTTGGAATTCTTAACACAGACTTGCTGGGAAGCACAGAATTACAGCAGAGTTTAATTGTGCCTTAAAGGACCTGGAGACCCTTTTTAAAACATGAAAGGTGTTTTTTTAGGCACATACTCTTTGTTTTACAAGGGAAAATTCAAGCTTTATAATGGCAAGTGATACTGCTTGTGCTGTGTATCCACTGCTGATTTTGCTCCATTTGAAGAATATGTGTTTTAAATACTTTTAGGTGTTTTTCAATGAAGATGGGTCTTGCCATGGCCCATCTTCATCCTGAGTGAGTGACCAGCCTTTCTAGGCTGCCACAGTGCTGGTGGAGGTGGAGTGGGGAGGAAAATGCTTTTGCAGGGAGATTTTGTTGGCAATTAACACACAAGGAGTGGCTCTGTCCATTGCAGAAATTCAAGGAAAGTTTGGTGTTGCATACCCAGCTTGGAGGAGGTGATGTGACTATCCTGGGTCTTTCAGATCCAATTATTTCTGCAGCTGTTGGCTGAAATGGCGCTTCAGAAATACTAGAGGGATTTCAGGCAGCTCGGTGGGAATAGAGGGGTGGCATCAGGGTTGAAAAGTGGTGATGCTCCATTGCCCCACCTGACTTTGCCCCACACAGAAGTGGAGCAGCACCTCTGAAATGCTGGATCCCAGTGGATCCCAGCCAGGGTGGGACTGGGGCTGTTCCCTGCAGTGTTCAGGCAGCTCTGGAGTGCTGCTCACCCATTGCTGACAGTGAGAGATGCCAGAACACTGCAGGAGCACAGGAATGCTCAGCAGTTACACGCCAGCCTGCTCCCAGTGCTCTGCAAGTTTCTTCCAAAGCGCTTGCAGCCACAAAGCTTTTTACCTTCCCATCCTAAACTGAATTAGATCTTGTGCTAACACTCCTGTGGTATATAATTTATAATATTTGCCATTTTGTTCCTCAAAACTGGCTGCATGCTCAGCATAAAGGCTGCTGTGCCTCAGTTGTCCTAAGTGCTGCACTTCCCAAGTCATGCTCTGCAAAACAGAATTAATAAAAATTCTTTGTGAGGCAGAATAGGAGTCTGAGTACGTGGAAAACTGAATGCTGAGATCGAGAAAATTATTACTCTGGCATATTAATTTTTAATGGGCTGTCTTTCTAATAATGTTTCATCTATCAAATAAATGATAAGCACATCCCAAGTGACTTGCAGGATATTCCCAGAAATGTACAAGCATAATTCCAATGCCTATATATTTTAATGAACTAATTACAAATTAATTATACCAATTATGCATAATCAATAGTATTTCTACTTTGTCCTGTGTTTTCTTTTGGTTGTCTTTAGGGATTTAAGGGCTTAAAACAGAGCTTAAAACTTCTTTTTTTTAATAAGGTACATTAAACTTTGGGGTAGAGTTACCCCTTTGGCTATGGCAGGATAGTATTTATATAGGATATTCTTCATTTTCCTGTGGTCTCTGTGTACTAAAAAAAGTCGGGTTTTTCCCCTTTGAATGTTGTAATTTGTAATTATGTTGTAGGAAATGTAAAATTTTTGAGAGTACTGCTCTGCTGGCAGCAAGGTGAGTAGTTGGCGAGAGGGGAGGTGGATGGGAAGCTGATCCTGTGGATTCCTGAAATGATGGATTTTTTTCTTTTATTTAAATAAGAAACACTGAGGACATCTTAAAATGAAATCTTCTGTATTTTTTTCTCTTGTCATCACTGTGTTGGGACCTGGTGAAAGCTCCTAGGCCAGGCACAGCGTTTCCTTGCTGGTGCTGTGGTGGGAAGGCTGCAGAGGTCTCCTGGCCGTGTAAAATCCGTGCTGCTCAGCCTCGTGGCCAGCTCCTCCATGGAGCAGCACACTCTGCTCCCCTCATTTCCCTCTCCTTCACTTGGAGAGGCTGCTCTGCCTCTCACCTCCTCACCACCCTTTATGTGGTGCTGCTGGCACAGGCGGTGCCAGGTGAGCTCCGGTGGGGAGGAGAGACCCAGGAGCTGCTGATGGAAAGGGGCTGCAGTCGGTGCATTTCGTGGTCTTTGTCAGCAGAACTGAAGGTATCCAGCTTAACAGTAAATCTGTCTGGCCTGGAGCTGATCACAGAATCCCAGAATGGTTTGGCTTGGAAGGGATCTCAGCTCTCATCCAGTTCCAAACCCTGCACCTTCCACCAGACCCTCCAAGCCCCATCCAGCCTCCTGGCAGAGCTGAGCCATTGTTTTTGAGACCAATCCCTCTTCCTTAGAAAGAAATGGAAAGATACATTATCAGGTTAAAACAGAGAAGAAATGCTGTCTAAAAACAACTGTGACCCCCGGGCATTAGAGCAAGAGGAAAGAAAAATCCCAAAAGACTTATAGAGAAAATGAAGAGATCCCAGCAGGTTCTTTGAGCCCTGGAACAGCATTTAGCAAAGACCTGATGCATTGCAGGCCAACAGATTCTGTCAGTAATGTTTCACAGAAATATTGGAAAAACCACAGGTAGCTGAATTGCAGATTTCTTGAGGCAGTATTGACCAGAAGGTAACTTGAATGGTCTGATGAGCTTTTATCAAATTAAACAGAAAGCTGAATGGACTTTATGTGCAGCTTAATTTACTGTGCTTTGAAGTCAGAGTCTTTTTAGAGCAGCTGTTCCAGAGTGCATGAAACTGGAGAGGCTGAGGGGTGCAGTGGGGAGGTTTGGCATTTTACACAGCTCCTGGGAAGGACTGGGAGATGCTGTTTGTCCCTGTCTGTGCTCAGAGATGAGTCCCCAGTGCCTGCTTGCTTTGGCACACTCCTGCTGCCCTGGAGAGCTGGCTGGAGGAGGAACCCATGGACTCACCTGCTCCAAGTGATCCACGGGGGCAGAAAGAGGCATTGCAGCCCTCAGGAGCTCCAAGTGATCCACGGGGGCAGAAAGGGGCCTTGCAGCCCTCAGGAGCTCCAAGTGATCCAAGGGAGCAGAAAGAGGCATTGCAGCCCTCAGGAGCTCCAAGTGATCCACGGGGGCAGAAAGGGGCCTTGCAGCCCTCAGGAGCTCCAGGTTGCCCTGAATTGTGTGAGTTGTGCCCGCCTGGGTCAGTGCTCCAGGGATTTTCCTGTGCTCTGGCAATAGGGACCCCACAGCTGCCTTATTCCTGGCTTCCCTTTATTATTGGTAGCAGTTTTTCGTGCTGCAGAGCTGAAGTCTCTTTTTTGCTGCACATTCAGCAGGTTGTGTTTTGTCCTTCTCCCAGGGAGCATGGGAAACAATTGTTTTCTCTTTTCTAACAAAATCACTGCATAGTCATTCACGGCAGGAAGTGAAGCAATTTAAGTGTCTCCAAATATCTTTCCTCTTTTCTTTAAGCCCCAAACAGGCTCCAGATGTAGAGTTACAAAAAAAAAAAAAAAAAGCAAACTGACTTCTTATTTGTAGAAGGTGGTATTCATGTAGATTATATTTTTCTTTTTTTTTACTTTCTTGGTCTGTTCAGCAGTGAGATGCAGGCTGGAATGCTTTGACAAGTTGCTGGCTAAACGTTTGCCCTCTTGTGATAATTTGAGCTTTGTCTATTCTTGTGATAAGTTTGTTATGAACAAAGAAGCATATTCATGTCTTTGTTAAACACATTTTCACCTGATCATGTGATGGAAACCTGTGGCTTACTGGCAAAAGCTGCACAGCTGTATTAAAAAGCAGTTTTACAATGGCTATC